CCTTCAAACTCTTATCTTTTGTTTGAACTCCTCCTTAGAAGAATGGATCCTAAGATGTATAGTAAGAAGAGAACTTCTTCCACTTTTGATAAGAGTGGATTTATCTTTACTAATGTTGAATCTAGATTTGTTGACTAAGTCATAAATAAACAATTAATTCAAGAATGAGGTTTTCAGATTCTTACTTTACCCAATATGCAAATTATAGAAAGTAGAGGATATGAAAAAGATTGTGAAGATCCATTTTTTGAAATTATTAATGTTATTTGTAATTTTTCGGCAAATGGAAAAGGGACAGTGGACAATGGATAGTATGTTACGGGTCACAAGGTCCCTTTTGATTCAATAGCAATTAATAAGGTTTACAACTTAGGAACTTCAAATTTGATGAGTACAATACCTTCATTTATACACCTTTAATCCTGATCACATCTTGAGTGTCTTGTGTGGGCCAAATAGTGGAGCTTGTTGGAATTATAAATTCGCCTACCTCTTATATGACCCAAGCATAAAAAGCTTGGCATTATTTGATTTATACCCAATCATTACCAAGTCGTAATATTAGTGAAGTCATTTGTGACTGTGTTTTTTTGAATTATTAAATTCAAATGGGGTATTTTATTAATCTCAAAAAACTTATATTTCCATCTCTTTTGTACATCATTAGGGTTACCACATACATTAGGTTTTGGAACCCTTCTCTTTTATATGCTTTGTGTGTAGCAATAGGTGTCAGGGGGAACATGAAGGAGAATAATTATTACCTATTCAAGCTCTCACAAAAAGAAATATTTTGAGTTTTAAGTAAGTAGGAAGGATGAGGATGAACATGATTTTAATGAGTATAGATTGTTTGGTAGACCAGGAGGCAGCAACAGTCATAGAACTGCTAGTGGTCCTAAAATATTAAGAGAATAGGTGGCAAATCTGAGGGAAAAAAATGGAAGAGGTGAATCACTTTTGTGAGAAAATAAGGAATTAGCAATTTGAGATGAAAATGAGGATGGCTCATAGCATGGACGAATAGGAATAGTATTATAAATACACCTCAACTTTTAATTATGTACTTATTGTATGTTTAAGAGAAGCCCTTTCATGGAACATCCTAAACAACTTGAGTTCCCCTCTACACATACCTAAAACCCCTTTGTGTGGTTGCCTCAAGAAAATGGACATCATGATAATGATGATGATGAGGAGGAAGGCTTTGATTCAGAGAGTTAAGTGTTATTTTTCTTTTGCTTGGGGGGGGGGAGAGATAAACCCACTTGATATGATATGTATGGTGCATAGTGCATTAGTTATCTTATAACCTTTGTTATGTTTATGTTATGTTATCACATATTTTATGCAACTTTTATCATTCATATAAATATGATGTTTATTATCATTTGTGTTTCTTTTATTTACATAGTATTGAAATTGTCCTTATGCTTACTATAAATTTTCATTAATTCATAAACTTTTATTATTTAATTAAATATAATAAAAATTATTATTAAAAATTAAATAAAAATAGTATAATAATAAAAACCTCAATCATAGTTCAAATAAATACTATTTTTTACTTTGTATAGTGGAAAACTAATAATTAACTAGCTTAGGCCATTTAAGTTAGTTCTATAATTTAAATTAATAAGTTATACTTTTGTGTATTAATTTTAAAAAAAAAGGATGAATAATTAGAATCAAAGATTATATATGAGTAAATTAAAATTGGAAATTATTAGCAACAAAAATTTGGAATTTGTAATCTTATTAAATCATTATATAAAATTCATTAAGAATGTAAAAGGGTTAGAAGCAAAAACTAATACTCAAAATCATTAATTGCACACACCATAAAATAAAATAAAAAGAAGAGAAATACAAAAAAAAAAAAGGAAAGATGAGTATATTCAAAAATTTGTATCAGTCAAACGCTTAGAATCTGATTATTTTCTAAAATTCATAAAAGATAAAATAAGAATATTAGAACTAATGATGATGAACTAATAAAGTTTCAATTTTAACTACTAACATTTCTAATTAATGAGCTAAGTTATTCACTTTAAAATTCAAAAAATAATTCTTAAATCTATAACTTATGAATTTAAATTAAACAATAATAAGAATGTTTGATGTATGTAATTATTAGCATTTTTCAAATTAGAATTATAACATTGTTCAATTTTAACACTACTAGATTATGGTGCACTGTCCTATATTTTAGTTACTTTAAATTATCAGTTTTTTTCTATAGTCAATCATTCAATCAGAATTATAAAGACTTTTATTAGCTTGAGGACAAACAAGAGTTTAAACTGGGAGGAATTAATAAGTGTAAATAAGGTATTATTTTATTTTATGTGATATATTTTTTCGTAAAATATATTATTTTAGTTATGTTGTGCAGGAAAAATATAAAAATAAGCATCAAATTGTAAGTATCATCCAACACCGTTGTGTTAGACGAATCAATACCGCTGTGCCATCAAGGAGAACGTCGGAGAGCTATAATGTCGACATGGAAGTGCATAAATCTTTGTTTAACAACATCACGGCTTCAAAATTGTAAGCTTGGTAGCACCTGTTCACTATCTTCAAGCTCCGTGACGTCACAAGTTATTACGCCTAGGAGCAAAATTGACATTCCAGTTCCGCATCATTCAAAAGTCAGTAGCACCGCAACATAGTAGTTGTAATTTCTAAAGGATATAATCTTCCAGTGAAATGATGTGATAGTTTACTAAGTAACTAATCTATATTAGCAGACACCGCGATAGAGTAATAACATTAGCGCATTAACAATAATTTATTTTATGGGTGTTATGGCACCAATCTTTAAATCAGCACAGTGCTAGTTGCCTAATTTATGTTTCTTATGAATAATCATTGTATTATATTTATAAGAGAGTTCAATCACTTATATAATTTAATAACTTTTAGAGTACTTCTTTAGATCTCTCTTAGAGTCTAATCTAAAATATACTAAGAAAGTACTATATACAATCATTAGATAATTTAGTTCGTGTTTGTTTGAGTAACTCCATATATTAAGAAAGAAGAAATATAGAAGAGTCAAATTGATCCTTTTTGGTGATATTATTCTCTTGCATTTTCATTCTTCTATGATTTCAATGTAAATGAGTTTGATTATCTTTTCTTTCATATATGGCTAATTCTCTACTTTTGGATTGATGATGTAAAAAATATTTACAGTGTTAATGAAGATTTTTTTGTTGTAAAAATGAAATGATATTTTCAATATGATTTCATTCTTTATTTAATGCACATATTGACCATATGGTAGTTAAAATATAACGTAATGTACAGGCTTAATGGAGAAATGCAAGAACAATCAAGAATATTGAAATAGTATGTTTGCATACCTAAAAATCAAATGTAAAATATGTTAGTTTCTTAAGGAGATGAAATAATTGTAAGAGATCAGCAAATATTCTTTTCATTCCTACAAGCTCGATAGAGAGATCTAGAATGCATATGCTCAAAATCATTTTAAAAATAAATTTTATTAGGAAAGATATGAAATTTACATTCATCAACCCAAAATAATTTATTTAAATATTGTATGCATTATTTTACTATTTATATTCACTGATTGAAGCTTCACATCCAACAATTTTATTTTAGTAGGATAATTTTGCATTTAGAGTAAACATAATAGTTTATTATTAAAAAACATACTTCCTCATGGGTTCGACACTTTATTTCATCACTTTATTATTTGATTTGGCTCATATAGTTGAGTATATTAAGTATTGTTTGTTATTTTATATATCAAAGAAAATTTAAGCATTGTTTAGGTGAGATAGAGCCTTAAACATTTTTATAATTCAAAATTGCACTCCATAGTATCCCCATCACCTATGAAATTTAATTTATTCATATATCATTTTAAATATTAGCAATATATATTGAATATGCTCAAGTTTCCATATTCATATGATAAGACTAATGTTATGTTCATATGTTGAAGGATTTATGGAGGAGGAAGGAGAAACAAGGAGATATAAGTGGCAATTGTATATGTTTTTAAGCAATACAATTGTAGTTTTAAGGGCTTGTGTGCGCATATAATTCCTCTATCTATATGTTTGATAAGCTTGAACCGATGTGAGATGACCAAGTGGAGGTATAAATAAAAGTGAAGTGATAAGAGGCGTAAGGAAAATATAGGTTGTAGGTATGTTCTTAAATCTATGAATTTTCTTTTGGCAATTCATATAAACATTCTTAACTTTAGTGAGAAAATTTATATCTAGATTGTGGCTCATTATTCTTTTGATGATATGAATAAATGATATGATGATATTATATATATAAATGTTCTTTAATGATCTTAGAATGCTCCGTGGTGAGAAAATATAATGAAATAGAAATAATTCTTCCAACTAAATCTTTGTGTCATGACATGGTAGCTCTCTTAGGGCATGAGTAAGAGAGGAGAGCATTTAGATGACATAGAAGATGGGTTGGCCGGTCGATTATGATGAGTGAGTTGAAACCCTCTTAGAAGTATATTTTTTTGTGGTTGAAATGATAAGCAGAGTTGGAGGCGCTTTGTCATGGATAGCGACTAGTGTTCACCCTCTGATAGAGTCCGAGCAACAAATAGAGTAATTTGCGAGAACTCTTGACTATCTTTATGAGAGGCGGCCTCACTCTATATGTACAATTGAATTTGGTCAATTGTTCTTTTTCCAAGTTTCTTATGTGCCCATACAGTATGAGTCTAACTATAATTTGTAGATTACTTGTTTTATATAAAATTATAAATAAAATGTTAAAAGGCATTCCAACTCTTTTCAGTTCAATCGCACGTGAATTGGCGGGGGCACGGTGGTCCAGAGGAATGAGCCCGAGGTTGTAAGTGTCGATAACGACACCAGCCGAGCAGAAAAATAATGCGAGTCAGTGAGAGAAACACAGAGTAGGCACTTGTTTCCCTCGACCGCGAGCCTAGCCATGCTTTTAAAGCAAGCAGAGCACTCCAGGCCCCGGCCATGCTTTTAAAGCAAGCAGAGCATCTCTCTCTCTCTCTCTCTCTCTGAACTCCAACCCCTAGACTTCCGTCCTTTGACTCTTCTTTCCTTTATCTTCCTATATTGATGTTTGTGCTGCGTTTGCGCGTTCCTGAGCAACAGAAATGGGGGTGAGTGAGTTCCTTTGTAGAAGATATGAATTTTAACATCTTTTATGCTTCGTCTGCTCTTGGAAATCTCATTTCATGTTTACATGCAGGAGAAGATGTATCAAATACCGGCGTTTGAGAGCTGGCACAACGGCGAGCATGTTGTCCAGCCAGGGCTGACCCGTGCAAGTTTCTTCGGCGAGGAAGATCTTTTTCAAGTGCCTATGGCCATGCCGGTGGACTCTGCTTATCTCAAAGGCGGTCTATGTCGCAGAAAGGTTCGCCCTTCGGAGATTAGTTTTATTATTTTATTCGTTTTTAGTTCAGTTAAGTAAATCTTCTGTGGATTTTCAGGTGAGGAAGAGAAGTTGCAGTGGAGCTCCCAAGGCAGTGGATGAGGATTTGTACAAGATTCCACAGGAACTTCTATATCAGAAACCCAAAAGGGTATCTCTTTCTCTCTCTTTGTGTATGTAGAATTTCCAATCCTGTAAAAGGAATTTCTGATGGCTGGAATCTTTTAATCTATCAATATGACTCTGTTTTCTTGCAGAAGAGGCTGCTGAAAAATTTGGTATCCGGATGTCTAGGCCTCAACTGCATCCCCTAAACTTGTAATAGGGCTAGGCCAATTTCTTATCTTGCTTTTTGCTTTCTTTACTTTCTTATTTTCCATCTTTCATGGATTTAGTATGAGATGGAATTTATTCACTTGTTGCTTCATATGTCGAGTGTTTTTTTTTTAAGTACTGTTCACATGTAAATAGTTTGATCAGAAATCAGTGGCCGAGCAAAAATTTCTATCTAGTTTGGACATAAATTAAAATTTTAAATGTTTCTTTAATTATTTTGATTCATGATTTATCAGGCATTGACAATTTATTTTTTTTATTTAAATTTATTACTTTAAAATGATAATATATAACATAATAGAAAGATTCTAATTTATAATATTTACACTTCACGAAGAAGTTGAATAATTAATTTATTATTAATATAATTAATTTTTTTTATAAAAGTTCTAATAAAAAAATTTCAACTTATATTGCATTTATTTAAAATACATGATTGGAGGCGAACTTGCAAGCCCCCTCTTAAATCAGCCTTGTTTTTTTTCATTAGCGATCCGTACTGAACATGAATGATGATGCTCATTGCTTTCTTTCATAACAAAATATTAAGCTTGATATGATTCTCTATATATTCATAAGAATACGTTCCATGGTACTACACTTTCCATTCAAAATATTTCAGCTATTAAGAAAGATATGCGATCGTGCTAATTCATATATATATATATATATGAAAAAAATAGAGGCAAAGCCTATTCATTAAACTACAAAAGGATAAATAAAGAAAAATTACAAGTTAAAAACAAAAAGAAAAAAAAAGTGGAGCAAAAAATGCTCGAGCAAAATTTGAGCAAAGGCTTAAAAAGAGAAAAACCAAAAACTATCTCACAAAATAAAAAGTGATAAACAAAAAATGTGAAAAGGCAAAATCCGTTGAATGCCAGAACACAAGTTCCATGAGTTATCAATCAATTAATCAGCTGTAAGTGGCTCGCTTGGTCGCCCGAAGACCATCCAAAGGGAAAAACATGGACGGGTAAACATCATCATCCATGACATCAAAAAACCATTCAGAATCAAAACAACGATTTGCAGCAGTGAAACGAGGGCCACAATCTACGCAATGGAAATTCAGTCCAAGATACAAACAGAAACCTCCATACCATCTGTGGGTTAAATTGCAGCATAGAGATGACTACCCCAAAGCCAACATGTGAGAAATCGGCTAAGAATAATCAGATCCGGGCAAGAAAAAATAAAGGCAACTCCATACAGCCTGCAACGGAGAAATCTAGAGCAATTCTCTAAAATAGGGTAACAAGGGAACACAACAAGGCAACCAGATCAACAAACAAAGAATTTATTATGAGCCATTAAGCAGATATTTATCCCCATTCTTCCATTTATAAATTTTCAGAAAAATATGCTTAAAGATAGAGATGTGAAATGTGGCTTTACTATAGTGCTTATTATCGAATTTTCTGACATTTCTCTCTCTCCATTTATGATAGACAGAACAACAAAGCACAAGCAGGTAAAAAGAGTTTCTATCCCTGAAAATAATGGCAATCTGATTTAAATTTGGTTGTAAAAGGAAAAAAATTAAGGCATGGGATGATATTGGTAATGATGGAGTATGTATAATCTAAATCAAAGAATAATTGATAATTTCTTTCATGCATTGCATTACACAAACAACACATTGGATCCACCTGCATATTATGCTTAATGAACACATTAGAAGTTTTATGCCCACCTACCATGCTTATCTAACCATAAACTGAAAACAAATAGCAGCATGCCCATGCCATACATTTTGTGCCAAAACACCTCTTTCTTGTTAGAATAGAAGTCATGCAAAATGTCACCAAAACATCCAACCCTCCCATTCTTCCATAACAAACCAGCAGCATCGAAACAAATTGGAGTAGCAAGTATAATGCGAAGGATTGGATCATTAATAACCACATGAAATTTCCAGCCATTTGAGTCCAGAATAATTGAGACAAGTGACTTAGGAGAAAAGGCATTGGTAATAGCAAAATTATGAGGTAAATTGTTTAAACAGTCATAATTGCACCAATAATCCCATAATAAAGAGATTGTTGAGTTAGCATCGACATTAAAATTAAAACTCCCTTTCGCATAATGGGCAGTTTCACAGGTACATTCCACCATGTGGTGGCCAACATAAAAGCAGGTTCCCAAGGAGAGTAGTAGATGAAAGATGACCAATTAGCAAGGGGGAGTGTACAATATACATCCTAGAGATGATAGAGCAATTGATAGCAAATCTAATGGCATTTGATGGAGGGGAGCCCCAAACCAACAGCCTCCTTAGGTTTGTAAGTGTTTTTCCTAGAAATGAGATGTAATTTCGTCCCCATTAAATCGCCATGGTATAAAAATCTAGCAGAGAGTGTATCAATTTTCTTATAACAACTCTTGGCTATAATAGCACCACAAATATAATAGGTAATGGTATTCCATATAGTATATCTAAAAATATACAATCTACCTACAAAAGAAAGAAGTTTTGCTTTCCAACTGAAAATCTTTTTAGAAATGACATCCAAAAGCAGAGAGAAACAAAAAATGCAAGCCCTCTTGATAGAAATAGGAATCCCCAAATAACAGATCTTGATAAGGCAATTGGTGGTATTGAGAGTAGATAAAATTTAATTTGAGTTAGTGTCATTGGGGTGCATGATAAGAGAGCATTTCTTTTTATTAAGAAAAAGGCTAGAAGAGTTAGCAAACTTGCTAAGGATATTCATCAAATTATTGTAATTAATGATGATTATTTTCCCAAAAAGCAAACATCGTCAGCATATAGGAGATGAGAAAGGCAAAAAACCTTTAATTTTGAAAGGTTCAAAAGCCACCCCATTCACAATAGAGTCAAAGGCTTGAAAAAGAATTCATAGTAAAACAAAAAAGATATGGGCTCAAAGGGCATCCCTGTCTAGCCCCGGTAGAAGAGGGAAAGAAGCCTTCCAATGCCCAATCCACACAAATAGAGAAATGAACAATCATAATGCAAGAGTTGACCCACTCAATAACTATAGGGGAAATACTTTTTTGAGCCATTCTAGCAAGAATGAATTCTCTTGAGACCAAATCGAATGCTTTCTTGATGTTATGCTTGACACACATAAAGTTTGATCAACTACATTTTTTAAAAAATCTTAGAACTTCAGATGCAAGGATTACATTGTCTGTAGATGTTCTTTTATGAATAAAGCAAGCATGGGAGGTTTTAGTAATGATAGACATGTTGTTTTTAAGCCTAGAGGCTAAACCTTTTGATATAATCTTGTAAATGGTATTACATAAGGAGATCGTCCTTAAATATGATATAGATACGACATGGCTTTTGTTAGGAATTATGGCAATGGTAGTGGCCTTGACACTTTTAGGGATATAGCCTTTAAGGAAGAAGGTTTGAATAGCTTTGCATAAATGAGGTCCAATGAGATGCCATCTAACCTTAAAGAAATGAAAATTAAAAACATTTGGCCTCGATAAGGAGTTAGAATAATAAAAAAATAGCCGATTTGATCTCATTAGTGGATACTGGTTCAATAAAAAAAGAAATGAGATGAGGGGGAACAGTGGGACTGGACAGAAAGCTAATAAGATCCGATGTAGGACAGGCTGGAAAATTATAAAGATTATGAAAATGTTGAGAAATTCTTTCACCAATATTAGATAAGATACTAGAACTCTTATCCAAAGCTGCTATAGCTAAGATTCCATTAATATTTTTCCTTATTCAGATTTTGGAGTATATGAATTTGAGATCATCATCGCCATTTTTTACTTAGCTTTGGCATGTTGAATAATCCATGAGGCCCAAGAGGTGTAAATCTCAACAATTTTATAATTTAGATATTTAAGAGTGTAGTTAAGATATGGATTATTAGAGTCAACATCCAGTAGAGAGGGAATAACTTTTACTAACTAGTAAGGTAATTCAAAGAGTTCTGAATGATAGAAGAAGTGGCCCAGTGCTCCTTCTTAATGCATGTTTTAAACTTCTTAAGCTTTGTGCAAAAATCCACCAATGGGTTACCAATGCAAAGTTCCAAAAACACTTTAAGGAGTATATCCCAATACTCTTAAAAATTAGTCAATTTTTATTTTTTTTTTTGAATTGGAACCTATGATGTATCGAGTGATTGCGGAAGTACTTGAGGATAATTAGAGAATGATAGAAATAGTGAGGCTCCTTAACCAAGTAATAAGAGTTAGGAAAAACACTTAACAAGGCATCATTGACTAAAGCATAGTCAAGCTTAATATGAATGGGGTTATCTTCTTGTTTATTAAACCAAGTGTAGAAGAGGCCACCAGAAACCAAATCATTTTGTTGACCATAAAAAATGAGAGATTGAAGTTCCCCAAGTTTGCTAAAATGAAGAATGGAGCCCCCATCTTTTTCATTTTGAAATTTTTAATAGTTAAAATCACCAAAAATCATCTACGATAGGGAAGTAGAGCTTGCAATTTTTGTGAATCTAGATTCAGGGATTATAATTTTGATGATAGTTAATATTTCTGTTATTTCTATTTTTCTACGACTGCCTTACCTACTAATATTTTAGGTCCACAAGATCAAATTACAAATAAAACCAGCTCAATATTGGATAGATTAGGACTGTGTCAGCTTGCAATGTACATCAAGTGTCTTTTAACTTTTGTTGAGTCCATTGTATCAATGTGGGTCGTAATGCTAAGTAACCTTGAACACACACACTTGGGGAAATTTTTTTAACTATTTTAGAGTTTTCTATTTTTTATCACATCATGCGGGATGATCCAAAATCATCCTGGATGATCAATTAAAAATGAAAACCCTAATTAGGGCATCCTGGTTAAGACAGTCAAAATTAAGCAAATCATCCAGGATGATATTATCATCGTCTAGGATGATAAGCTAACATCATAAAAAATCAACCGCCACAACCTTTTAGGCATGTTTTATTTTTGGATATCGTCCAGGACAACATCTTGGATGATGCACCACAATTATGCCTGAATTAATTTGGTAATTAAGGAAAGCAATTACTGTTTGATTGCTCGATCATATTGTCCTGTATGATCGCAGCATCATTCAGGATGATCAGCTAAAAAAACCTTAGTTCTTCCTAAACGACCTGAACAATACTCTGGATGATGTCTATTGATATGAACTAATCATCCAAGACAATCGATTATCTTTTTCATCATCAT